TATATATATACATATATATATATATACATATATATATATATACATATATATATATATACATATATATATATACATATATATATATACATATATATATATACATATATATATTTATATATATATATAAAGGCAAACAAGACAGTTACATGCTGTCTAAACTGGCAACCATTTTGCACAATGTAAACAGGCAACCATGAAGAAAGAACATATTTTGCTGTCTAGTGTTTTGGTAGTACTCTTGTGGATTTTTCATGGTTCTGATCATGTACAAWGCATATATGTAAACAGGTTTGAACATGCTTCTTGACTATTTAAGAATTGACRGGAGCATGACAAAACCATGTATCTATACTACATATATGTAAACAGGTTAATATTTGACTGTTTCTTTTTTTTTTTGAACGGAAACCAGGCAATTTTATAAACAATAAAAAAAAGGGGATTACAGCAAAGACAAAACCGTATGACCACCACCTAACCAACAAGAAAACCAAAAGACCTTACCACCAAAGTATACCAAGCCACCAAAAGCCAAAAGGAACAGAGCCCAACAGAACCAACCAAACAACAAAATATAAAGAAAAGGAGCTTAGCAAACATACAAGCTCCACAAAACCACCAAAAAACCATCATAGCACAGCAACACCAGGCGCCCGACTTCTATCCACCCAAGCGTGCGCATAGAAATCGTATTATTGATAATTGTGATGAGTTGCACAGTTGTACGGCTAACTTCAGAAAAAAGTCTTCTATTTCTTTCTTGCCAAATATAATAAACAGAAGCTACAACCATTAGCCTCTGCTTTAAACACTTAGGTCGACGAGCACGATCCGAAAGAAAATCCACAATTTGATCCCAAGACGACGGCATAGTCCTCAAGTCCACAAGAAGCAACATACTTTCCTAAACCTCCCGAGTAAAAACACATTGGAAGAATAAATGAGCATGGCTATCAATACAATTATCACATAACGGACACTTCAAATCCGGGGGTTCATCCTTCCAAATTAGGCGGTCTTGAGTAGGGAGACGTCTCTGACAAGCAAGCCATAAACAGAAATCATGCTTAGGAATATGACCCGAGAACCATATCGATTTATACCACGGAACAATCGGATGAGTCATATCTAAAGATTCCCAAGCAGTACGAACAGAAAACAAAGACCTAGAAGTGCAGTTAGCCCCCCACAGAACTTCATCACAAACAACATCATTTAAAGATGGGACAGTATAATAACGGCATGTAGTAATCCTGTTACACCACTCTTCCGGCCATACCCCATCGATACTAATAAGTAATTCTCTAACCGAAGTGCCAGTCGAGAACCTACAAGAATGTATAAACCGATAGGATAAGAAGGCCGAAAGATGTCCACAAGCCAGCCAAAAGTCCTCCCAAGCATTTGTATCCCGACCATTACCAATCTTGGAGAAAAGAAAACATCGCAAATGAGCTCTAAGGTCCAACAACTTACGGAAAATCCAAGACCAATTGGAGCTCTTCCGAACCAGCCAGAAACGAGAAGAACGAAGAATATGACAATACACACATTGAACCCACAAAGAATCACGATGTCTGAGAATATCCCAAACATGTTTCGCAAGTAAAGCCCTATTCCATGTGGCAACACGCCTAATACCAAGACCTCC